TCATTCAAATGCAATAGTTTTTATTCAATTGGTATAAAATGTCATTTGAATGCGATATTTTTTATTCAATTGGTATAGTAGTTTTTTATTTATATGCAATAATTGCATTATGGGAAATTCTTTGACGTCATAAGGTCAAATTTGCAACAACGTTTGTGATTGGTCGGAAATTGTTTGGATGTCTCCCCTTTCTTTCTAAACATGGGTGACCAAGAATTAAAAAACGCGTCAGAATATCGCCCCTCTAACTAAATCTAACGTTCGTGCGAGTAATGCACTGGCTGTTAAAATAGATTAGACACCGTTGGTTTTCCCGTTTGAATGGTTTTACACTACTAATTTTTGGGGGCCCTTTATAGCTTGCTGTTCGGTTTGAGCCAAGGCTCCGTGTTGAAGACCGTACGTTGACCTTTAATGGTTTACCTATGATTTACAAATTATGACTTTGATGGAGAGTTGTCTCATCGGCACTCATACCACATCTTCTTATATGTATATTCAACGTAAACCAGACGTTTCTCAGACTGTTTTCTTTTTTTAATAAATCCTTTGCCGCGCGTTGTGTACTGATTGATAACTCGGTCTGGGAGAACAAGATTTATTTCAGTACCAGTTGTAATTAGGTTTGAGCAAACTTCCAGTAATTGCAAATACTCTTATGTCGGTGCTTTGTGTCTATTGTCTTAATGTTAGTTTTTGTGTGTGTCTCCTACCGATCTTTTGAGTAATTTGCTGATTTGTGCAGGTTGTTATTTTATTGTACCGTTACACCACTGTCCCAGCTTCGGGATGGGTTGCTCACAAACATGTTGTTGTACTGTTACACCGCTGTCCCAGATTAGGGGGAGGATTGGGATCCCGCTAACATGTTTAACCCCGCCACATTCTGTATGTATGTGCTTGTCCCAAGTTAGGAGCCTGTAACTCAGTGGTTGCCGTTTGTTGCTTTGTTATACATATTTGTGTTTCGTTCATTTTTTTGTACATTAATTCGGCCGTTAGTTTTCTCGATTGCATTGTTTTACATTTTTGATTTCGGGGCCTAATATAGCTGACTATGCGGTGTAGGCTTTGCTTATTGTCGAAGGCCGTACGGTGACTTATAGCTGTTGATTTCTGTGTCATTTGATCTCTTGTGGAGAGTTGTCTCATCTGCAATCATACCACATCTTCGTTTTTATATCCACCCTGCCATATTCTTTATTTGCCTGTCCCAGGGATGGAGCCTGTATAGTTTAATGGTTGTCGTTGGTTCCTGTCTCGACTCATATTTGATATTTTGTAAATTGTTTTGTTATGTATAATTAGGCTGTTAGTTTTTTCGTTTGAATTGTCAGTCACACTTTTAATGTAGGGCCTTTTATAGACGACTTTACAGTATCAGGTTTTTGTCATTGTTGAAGGCCTTACGATTGTCTACAAAAATCATTTGTCTACATGACGGCAAAAAGCTCTACAGAGCTCATGTTTGTAGTATTTCATGTAACCCGAATTAAAATAAATTTTTCTTATCTTATCTTATCTATAATTGCTTACATCCACTTCATATTTGAACTCCGGTGGATAGTTGCCTTATTAGCAATCATATTCCATCTCTTCATTTTTATATTATATACGTGACTTCTAAACTCGTGTTTTCCTGAACAAGCATGAAATAATTTTCACTGGGCGTTAAAATTAGCAACAAACAATCAATCAATTTAAACTTGTGTTAAATTAGAGGAAACCCATTTGATATTTATTTATTTGTTGGGTCGGGGGACAGAAGGATTTCATATATGAATATGGTTGCCTGGTAAGAGCTGAAAAATAGGCATGATTAGCGACAGATTGAAATGAATAATAATGCCCCCTCTCCCCTTCCCCATCCTTCATCTATAAATTTAAACTGACCACCACGGAATAATAGTGTTGAAAGTAGCGTAAAACACCAATCAATCAAAATCCCTTCCCTAGAATATCAAATAATCGTCCCTTAACTGTTATTGTCCGTGTAGTTCTTATATTTATCCAGCTTATCGTCCTACAGGGATGTCCTACTAAGGCTGTCATACCATAAAACGTTTATAAAACAGCTCACATTCTAATATATCTGCATTCATAAATTTATTAATTTCATTTAGACTAAACGACGCCATGTTTGTTATGTGCCTCTGCCGTCAACCTATCAAAAAAGAAGAGGTGGAAGAGAGCCAGAAGATCTTCCCAATGCAAAAAAAAACAGAAATGGACTTCTTCTGGCTCACTTCCGAAGAACAAAAAAAAACGCGTCCCACTGATATGTTTTAAAAACGCCTTGCCCCTACCTTTTTTCCAAAAAAATGGCATAATTAAATATATAAACATATATATAATCATCAAAATTAAAATGCTATTGTATTTTTATAAGACCTACTTTATTACATGACCTGGGACTAATGACATCTATCTATAAGTCCTAGCATACATTAATTATTATAATATGAATATGTTTCTTGTTTTAATAACCACATATGATGCTATGCATGAGTCACCATTTATCAGGACATGAATTGGGTTTACATAGAGAGGATAAGGGACGACATCAGAAAATCAATGAAGGATAAAAAACTTAATTCAAATAGTTGGGGGGGGGGGGGGGGGGGGTCAAAATTGCTGCAAGTTTTGTTTAATTAACATCGATTTTATATATATCCTTATTGGTCAATCAATTTTTCCCAAATTAAGAAATTAAATTAAGAGGGGGGGGGGGGGGGGGGGTGGGGGGGGGGGGGGGGAGGGGTAGGGGGTCAGTGAAAAAAACTATATGAATTATTTTTTTTTTATCCTACATTTAACTTTTGATGTCGTCCCTAATGTGCAAAAAAATAGATAAGGGGCGGGACCAAACCTATAGAAAACATAATAAAGAAATGATGAAATATACAGAATACGTTGATTGACTTTTGGTTGCCTTATGTCCAGTGGCAAATATGTCACGCATGTTTAGAACAAATATAATAGAGATCAAAGGATAAAGAATAGAGTGAAATGGTAAAAACTAAAAGATATAGAATTATAGAAACGATCTTTGATCTGAAACCCCCTACCCTCACACACACACCATAACCATTACTGCCAATACTCGCATATATACATCTCTATACAAATATCTTAATTTGAACCTACTCCCCCCCCCCCCTTTCTAGACACCGAGGTTTTGGATCCGCCCCTGTTAAATGTGTCTAATTATATACATTGTGTACGGGTCTAGATAATAGCTAAACGTACAATCATATAATTTGTTGGATACCTAATTATATTATATATTGTGTCACAAAATAAACTTGTATACCCCCCTTCCCAATGCAGTATTGAAAAGTAAATCATTTAAAAGTCCTGAAGATAAAATATGTTTTGAAATATGCCCTGCATACTTATTTATGCAAAGACATATAGTAATTATTGAACTACTGTGGGGCTTGAAAAAAAATCTATTTAAGGGATTCGGAGGCGAGAACAGTAAAAAAAAAGCTCAGCAACGAATCCTAAATGTAAAATGATTTGCAGCATAAGACATGAGAGCACATATCATAGATAGTATTAAATATGAAGTTCACGCCTCATATAGTGAAGTCCTATGTCATAGGACTATTGTTGTAACATGGGTTAGTAACTGGTTCCAATTTATCCTGAATTGTCTTTATTAAAGAATTAGTTCCGGAGTATAACAGCTTATTCTCTACTTGTGGGTTTCTAGTTCTGCTGTCGTAATTAGGTGATTTTTTTTCTACATGTAGTAAAAAAGAGGGGGCTTAGTCCAAATAATTGTAACGTCCTGGATGCTTTTTATTCTTTTTTCATGTGCCTTCCTGCAACGTCTCTGAGGATCAAGAAAAGTAAAAAATGATATAGCACTAAAGAACGTCATGATTACATGTATCTGGACTTAGAAGGGGAGGGGGGCTAGCTATGTATTTTTTTTTATTTCAATGTGTAGACTGTAGGAGAGTTTCTTCAGAAAAGGTTTTCATTGGAGGTGTTTTTGCCATGCACGCAGGCATCTGTTTCAGCGCTATCCATGAACAAGTTGTGTGTCAAATTAATTATTATTACTTGTCACTCGCATTTTTTGCTCGTCCTGGCCATTATTGGCATTAACAGCCAGTGCAGGACTCGCACGAACGTTAGATTTAGTTAGAGGGGCGATATTCTGACGCGTTTTTTAATTCTTGGTCACCCATGTTTAGAAAGAAAGGGGAGACATCCATACAATTTCCGACCAATCACAAACGTTGTTGCAAATTTGACCTTATGACGTCAAAGAATTTCCCATAATGCAATTATTGCATATAAATAAAAAACTACTATACCAATTGAATAAAAAATATCGCATTCAAATGACATTTTATACCAATTGAATAAAAACTATTGCATTTGAATGAAAATTATACCATTTGAATGAAAAATTATACCATTTGAATAAAAAATATTGCATTTAAATGAAAAAATATACCATATAAATGAAAAATTATACCATTAAAATAAAAAATATTGCATATAAATGAAAAAATATACCATTTAAATGAAAAAATATACCATACAAATGAAAAAATATTGCATATAAATGAAAAAATATTGCATATAAATGAAAAAATATACCAATTAAATGAAAAATATTGCATTTAAATGAAAAATATCAAATTTTTGCAACCAATACCATGCCATATGACAGTGACGTAATTAGCATACATGTACTTACGGTTAATTTTTAACAAAGACATTAATCCTGGATTTCAGGAGGATTTTAAAATACGATTTTAACAATACTTATATGAAACAAATAAAAACGATAAAACACAATTTAAATTATTTCATTTCATCAATCATTTTATAACATTATGTAATGTATGATCTCCCGAATAGTTCATTATTACCTCTTAGGCGCCTCAGTCTACAACAGTATACACTTACTGTATATATACAATGTACAGGTAAAAGGTCATACTTATATCCGGTTTCGTATCTATATATATTTATTTATGCGTCACAGGAAATTTAACGGAATTCCCACATTTATATGGTACATACATTTCACAACATGTCGGCAGTTTGAAGTTTACATGGCAATATTTTGACGAAAAATGTATTTTTCATGATTGTTAGTTCAAAAATGCCATCGCCAATTAATGGTTACCACCAAGACGAAACAGTGAAACCAGAAAATGAGATAATGGGTCGCGAAAATATCCAAACGACATCTGCAAGACCAACGTTAGTTCGACAGAGAAGTAATGTTCAGAAAGTTGAGGATTGTGCTGAAGACTTGTCAGATGGGGCCGATGGCACAAAGCCACATAAACCACACAGACCTGAAACGATAAACGGACGTTCAGAAACTGGACAAAAAAGTGTACATTTTGCCAACGGCGATTTCAACAATGGTGCTTGTGGTTCCGATGATGGGATAGACTATCGAAAACCAGAAACGCCAGAAGACGAAGAAACTTCACTCACAGACGATAAACATGGCAAAGTAAGACAAAGGCAAAAATGGAAAAAACAAAGGCGACAGCAATGGATAGCAATCTGTAGTTGTGGATTTTTTATTTTCTTAGTAGCTGCTGGAGCATTGTCCTTTGCCGTGTATAGTCATGTACAGCAAAAACAAAATCCCAACCACAAGCATGGTGTGTTGTTTTGTTATTCTTGTGATATTGTCAAAGCCGAAGACATCATTACATATAAAGAAGACTACAAAATGTGTTGTGTGGGAAAAGATGCCAAACTGAAGAACTCTGAAGTAAAGGTATGTGTTCTTTTTAATGCATGAATGTCAAGTTTTTATAATTGTACACAGACATTCACAAAAACAAGATAAAAAAAATCATAAGATAGAATTGAAGATTAACAAATCTTATTTTCTGGACTTTAGTTGTAAGTTGTTGAACGTCAAGGTATTATATGTAAATATTATTGTTATATTATTATAATTACACAACACTAGGTATTTATTTTAAAGTTTTACAGAAATGAAGAAAAAAAAACAATGAGACACAAAGCAACCAAAATATATCTTCGTGTCTAGAATTATCTGATGTTCTCTTAAATTAGCAAAGGATATACATTTGTACAACATGTAAAAATTAATGCAACAGACAATGGAAATGTAATACACTGATTTATTGAACAACAGATAATAATGTGTCAGTCAACAAACATTTCAATTCATGGGTGTATTATTTCCCATTCAAAACAACCTTGTCAATAGGTATAAGTCACCATACAAGTTGTTTTATGACCTTGTCGTTATTTTTGATGTCATGACATATTTAAACACTTGTTAGGGAGCAATTGTTTAATCTCCGTATTATTTTATGAGTTGTTTCTTCAAGACTATATGGCAGAGATTATTTAGCACAAATGTATTTATAATCAGAATATTCAACAAATTCTTGTCATTCATATATATTCTTCTATATATGCATAAAAATGTCAATATTTTTATATTCTGACGAAATTGTTATACTTTTTGTAGGCGTCACCATTAACTGCAGAGATAGAAGGAGAAAAAGGTAATTGAAATAAAAACATTACCCCCAACCCCTTTCCTCCAATATGGAAACATATATATATATATATTTAGATTATTTGATTATACATCCGTTCATTACTTGTCTGTCAATACCTTACAATGGAAACAAAGGGACATTATATATTCATATATAATATACATTAATAATGAGAGTTCCTAGAATTTAGTTTATCACAAACAATTGACTTCCAGGTAAATTATTTCGAGGTAATACTGAGAATATGTTTGTCATTATATTTTCTGGTAAAACAAAACAACCTTTCTGACCTTGCCCATCAGCAAACACACATGAAATCGCAAGAAATATGCAAATGTATAAGCAGGGGCGGATCCCGGATTTTAGGTTACGGGCGCAAAAAAAGTTACATTTTTTTTAGGTAAAACTATCGAAATATTCTTTATTAAGCTGAGGACAACCCATGCTTTGCAAATTTAAGGGGGGGGGGGGGGGCGCACGCCCGCCTCGCCCCCGCCTGAATCCGCCCCTGATAAGTAAGTAAGGAAGTAAGTAAGTAAGTAGTTTTTATGGAAATAAAGTCCGGACTATCATCAAATAGAACAATTACAAATGAACATATACATTCATGTGTTTGCAAAATGGAACGAAATTATAAAAACGACAATACATTGAACAGAACAGTTATCATCACTGATACCACTGCTGAGTCCCATGTTATGTATATGAATAGATTCCCTTCATCTATTGTACTCATTTAATTTTTTTTGTTCCAGAAAAAGAGAGCCACCGAGTGCAGTTCCAAGAAATTGGTATCGATGTAGCCCGATCAGAAGGAGGTTAGTTAATTGAAACCTTGACATTTACATGAGGGTGTGGGTGGGGCTTTATAAAAAAGAGAATAATGGGCAAAAAATATAAAGAATAGAGAAAAATGGACAAAAAAAATAAAGAATAGAAAATAATGAGGTGCTAAACTATAAAGAATAGAGAATAATGAGCAAAAAATATAAAGAAGAGAGAAAAATGGCATAAAAAGATAAAGAATATACAGAAATGAAAGAACCCATCCAGACCCTCTTACATAAATGATTCTTATGTAATTGATAGTGTAGTATGATCTGTGCAAGTGTGAATCTTTTAAAAATTTCTTTCTTGACAGATGAAAAATTTTAACAGGTTTATTTAGCATGTTTAGTTTTTTTAAACAACAAAGTCATCAGCATTGACAAATTTGAAAAAAAAATACTGCATTATCATTTTTCTTAAAACGATAGTGTACATCTGTGGAGTGTTTACTATACATATAATATGTATACAAAGTGTGACGTAGTCCTTGTAAGATTTGGTTGTTAAAGTATTGTATACCAATTTTAATCTCTTTTAAATTCTTATTATCAGGGTAGAATTGTGCATTTGAAATGAATATATATTTTATTATGATTTGGTTTTAAACTATGTCAGGCTAGAAATAAATAACACAATGTTTATTATTTTGATCCCCCCGCCCCAACCTATCTTTTATTTTCAGGTTACAAATCCATGAATTTGGTGGTTATTTTACTTTTAAGAGGATATATATAATTACAATTTGTATGTCAGTTTGTCAAATTGTATTACGACTAAGGGTAGTGTCAGGAAGCAATATACTTAAAAAAAAGTACAGTAAAACGCTATAATCGCAGTATATAATGATAGATCGGTAGCTATTTTCATGACCAATTTAACATTCATATTGGCTAAGAAATAGTTCAGTGGAAGAATAGATGATGAGTTTTGTTTGCCACTGGAAAAACTCTGCAAACTAGCGATTTTTTCGATTAATCATAAATATTTTTTTCTTCAGAATTCCTGGGTTTTAGAATGTTGTTTGCAGAATCTTCTAACAACCCAACATTTTTGCATTTAACGAACACTGCAAAAACGGAGATCTTAATCGAAGAATCTGGTCTGTACATGATGACAATGACACTGACAACACGTGCGCCAAGTTCAGAAAAACCAGGTAGTTACTTCCGGTTTATGGCTTGTCTGAAGTTCCAAAATGGCAACTTCCAAGATGATGAATGTCGAAAAATTACTCTGCTGCCCAATGTTGGAGACCCATTTGAAATTCACAAAACTATAAACCTTAATAAAGGAACAATTATACGGGCAACATCCACAGATACAAGCTTTTTAGAACGCAATGTTATTTTAAACAAAATGCAAATTGTTCAGTTGCACAAATCATAAATCATATTAATGTATTATATAAATTACTAGTATTTAGTTCGATTTTTCAATACCATCATATGGTAACAAATAGCGCTTGCAAATTTGCGACATGCCATTAGGAGACCGAGAAAGGGTTTTTGTATGTGTATAGGTGCTAAATGGAGTTGAATGAAAAGGGTCTTTGAAAAATGGTTTTCCTGTAAAATATCCTCCATGCTCTTTATCATGGCTGTCTGGTATTTTATTTGTCTTTGACTACTACAAATAAAATTTACGAAAGATGTATATCAGATAGGGCTATACAAAAAAGTATGTTTCAATGTGTTTATAGTTTCCGCCTGAATAAAACGTGTAAAAAAATGATATGTTGGCATTTTGAGGTATATTAGTACTGTTTTATTCAAGAAAATAAATTTGCGTTTTAAATTTTTGTTTTGGTCGAGTTGCATATTTATTGAAGTGTAATACCGCATATCACTTATTATCTATACTAATCTGTAGGACCTTAAAATAGTTATTCAAATGATTTTTGGGTATCATTAAACAAGTTGTACATGTACATAAGTTAAGTACATTGTATAAAGATATGATGTACCGTTAATGTTATTACAAATACCCAGAGCTTAGAGCCCAAAACAACCATCAAATCAAAATAAATTTATGTTTAAAAAAAAATGAATTAACTTTAGTTCGCCTCTAACTTGAATATTTTCATAACATTATAGCCCAGCCCTTCAATTAAACTTACAAATTTAAATGCATTGTCAGCTCCAATGTGCATGTTTTTTTCTAATTAAAAGTCTATGCATCTGATTACATAATTTCATATAGTTACGCTAAGAGGTTTTATGTCATGATTATAATACATCATATTTCTTACTTATCATTGAAATGATAACACACATACGAATACTTAAATACTCATTTTTAATCAAGTTTCATGAATTTTTATAATCTATGCATTTATAACACTTTTATAAAGCATTTATGCTGATAGCGTAAGGTATGTGCTTGACAATCTAATGATCTACAGATCTATGCAGAAATACATTGTTTGATAAAGAAGTCTTCCTAGTATGTGAATGCTCATTTTGTCATAAGAAACATTTTTATATAATAAATTTACAACATCCTAGAAGTATTTTGATATTGAAAAAACTGCATTCTGGGAAGAATGTTTTTGTTCATCATTTCTCAAAATAAATATTGAAATAATTTCTATTTGTATTTATATGTATATGTATATGTTCTTTCCAACATGCAAATGCCATGAGATTATCTGTGATATAATTATTGTGTTGTTATGGACAACGATTCCATAAAAAAATCGCCAAATATGAATCAGCATTTGAAAATACCATACCATACATACTATTGCTTCATTAAACTGCTTGTTTGATTTTTTTAAATCACAGTTTACGTTTTTTTTTATATATATTTGTAAATAATTTGTTACATTTTTGTTTATATTTGTTTGTTTATAATCATAAATATTAAGATGACTCAAGGGTGGAAAAAATGAAGTTGCCATTTTCGATCTGAAATGGTTGATAGATTTTTATTGAAACTTTCCATCTTAAAGTTAAAAATGCAATTCATTTGCATGCATTTTCCTTTATGAATTGATAGAAAAGGGAAGTTAACTCAGAGAATTAAGTTTTTACGTAAATTTACCTATTTCGTTTTGTTATGAATAAACGTGCTCGGTTATTTCCTTTTTTCTGTTTATTTTTGTGTGGAAGTATTTAATCATGTAATGACAACTATCTCCTTAAATTTAAAGTGCAAATTTTACTGTCAATTTCCTGCTTTTTCTTCTTATTCAAAGAAGATATATAAATTTCCTTATATGTATATACCAATTCATTGAATTTTGCTTGACCTGAAACATAAAACAGTTTGGATGACTTCATTGTCATTTTTGAACTGCATTGTTTAAACTACTTAAAAATAGAAAATGTTCTATCGTTTAAGTCTTGAAACCCCAATACAATGTTCAATGAGTTATCATTTTATATACTGGCTGTAGAATAGTTGCACCATGGTCATGTGTGTCAAGAATTGAGATCACTTTTTATCTATGCAAATTGGAACAAAAATATTGTTGAGAACATATTTGAAAGTGTTTGTTGCGTTCAAATTTGTTTGTTTATTTGATAAAGTTAAATGTTGACTATGATGGTAGAATATGCAATCATATAACATCTATATATCATCTCGTCCTAAAAATGCATGAAATATTTGCTACTGGACGTTAAGAGACCAACAATTAATCAATCAACCTTAAAATTATATACATTACAGGGTCTATTTCATTTGTTAGTCATATTTATTAAATTAAAAGGTTGTATGATATTTAACATTAGGAAATATACATCATAATTTTGAAAATACAAACAAAAACTAAAAATGAGCCGTTTCATTTATGCAAAGAATAGAGCTTTAACTCATAATTGTATACGTTCGTTAAACATTTAAGTTAAGGCATTTGCATTGTATCATACAAAGTCTTGTGACTGGAAATAAAGGATATGCATTTGCAAAATATGTCATAGGTTTTAGAAAACATTTAATGAATTTGTTTTATATTTTTATTGATATATATGAAATAAAAAGAATTTAATTTTAAGCGAGTTTATTTAATTAGTTGTGAATGTCCATGGCATATTTATACCTTTAATGCAGATGTGTATGACTGCAGCGAGGATAATTTTGCGAAAAATGACCTGAAGAGTGCGCTGTTTCTAACATTTCTCCTCGCTTCACTGAACAAATATATTGTCAATGTGATAACTCTCCACCAGAAACCAAATGACGTAGAAGTTAACAACTATATGTCACTGTATGGCCTTCAATAATGAGCAAAACCCGTACCGCATAGTAAGCTATAAAAGGCCATGAAATAACAAATGTAAAACAATTCAAACGAGAAGAAAACTAACGGCCTGATTATGTACAAAAAATAAAAAAAATTAATATATAGCAACAAAAAACGACAACCACTGAATTACCGGCTCCTGACTTGGGACAGGCACATACAGAATGTGGCGGGGTTGACCATTTTTACTATATCAGCATTAAATGTTGTTGTAGAATTCGTAGGAAATAAAAAAAGAGTGTGCTGTGAAAAAAGTTAATGTTAAAGTTGCCCTATATGTTTGCATTACTCTGTTGTATTAGAGTGGTTGAGTTAATATTTTAGTTGGTTTTCATTCTAAAAGAACGCAAAACGACCATTCTGTTTGAAAGCGAGTTATTCCTCTAGCTTTAACAATTTAGTAGGATTTTGGGCCAATTGATACAATATTGTAGAGCTCGAGTTTCATGATGTACGAATTTCTTTGATTGAGAGCTTTATTAATGAAGGAAGTTTTCAAACCGGGGTTTAGTTTTGTAAAGTTTTAAGTCATCTCTTCATTAGTTTACGGACACTATGATAACTTGATGGATTCGTTACAATATATTTGTGTCAAAGATGACCACGGATATGGATAATTTATCGTTACCGCAATCTCTTTCGCCTTCCTTCGCCAGATTTTAAATAATTTGTCGTGAGATTATCGACGGATGCTACTAGTGGAACATGATTGTCTTACTTCCGGAGCATCCTGAGTTATTCCAGATTGGCTTCGTATTGCTCAGTCTTAAGTATTTTGTACATAGTCTTTTGGATTATTGTTTTTGTAGACTTTGGGTTTTTCTCACGATCACGTTGCTGTCCAGACCCTTAGAATTTTATTCTTTTTTTCTATAGTATATAGTTTCTAATAAATTGGGTTTCTGCGGGAGTTCTTTGTACATTGTCTTTTCTCACGATCATGTTGCGGTCCAGATTTCTTTTATCGCCCCCTTGGTATCTTATTACTTTTTTCTATAGTAGTTACTAAAAATTTGGATTCTGATCAAGATATATTCGTTTATGGTTCGCCAATGCAAACACGATATTTTTTTAATTTGCGGTTATTTCCCTGTATTGAGTGTACGTTATGTGTTCTGTAATATTTGTATAGTCAATCAACATATGACTAATACGATACCAATGGTATTGTCCAGTCCGAGCATTGTTAAACGTTTCTTAGTCACAGCTTTCTTTGTGTAACTTTCTATGCATGTTGTACGTAAACAGATTCTTTTGTATAAATAATTCTCTAAGGAAATCATTATTATTAACTTAGGATACTCGAAGAAATATTTCCGCATAGAAAATTTGAATGAAAATAATTACCGAAAAAGGACTTAACATAAATAGAGACAAAATTGGAAATAGTCCAGGTTGTATCACTGTTAAGTATTTTGATGTATTACAACTATCAGTATAATGGGGAAACACCTGTCATTTATTAATCGAAAACACATATAAAGTGTAACCCCAGGGGTAGGAACTGTACACAAAAGATAACGGAAATTACTTCCGGTTTGTACATGATTCACCCTTAATTCTTTGACATCGTCAATAGTAAAGCTACACGTACTTTGTCCTTGATCTTAACCACAAACAGATAAATCAGATTTATAATTTTGGGGACCAGAAAATGAATGTGTTAATATGTCATTGGACCAAAAAATATGGAGAAATTGCAAAAATTAAAAAAAAAAATAGATAGATAAATCAGATTTATATTTTAGGGGACCAGAAAATTAATTTGTTGATTTGTTACAGTCTTACCAAATGAATTATTTTCAACTCGGGGTTGACTGGTTTATAGAAATATGGTCAACTCTGGACGTCTCCCATCCGACTGTAAACCCCTTCAAAGTGGGCGTTCGTTTGGTGATGCGGAGAGGTATAGATATGTAGCCACGTCCGATCGGAATGGGAAAACCCCCTGGAACAACTCTGAGCAAGACTGTTGCAAGGCAACATTTCTGACTATCTAAAATACCCTCTTTTTCAAATGGCAGACCATGTTTTCCACCCCCATCTCGATCGGTCTACCTTGCAGAATCTGCAAATATTGTATTTATTGTTTATTTGTTCTTGTTCTTATATGCTGGAAATGTTTGCTACTGGAATTATCCAATCAGTAAAGCATAAGCATTGCGTGTTAACTGATGTAATATAATATATCACAAAGTACCCGGTACAACAGTTTTACGTATATGCTTATGATTGATTAGCGTTAAACTACATTTAACATAAATTACCATTAAATGACTGATGTAAGTCAAGATAAATTTATAACTTTGGATTTTACGTGTGAATCATTTGATTAGATAAAAGTTCACTATATCCGTAATGCGTTGTTCCTAATATCATTGTGTCCTTGGTTACTTAGAATATTTACAAATTAAGTTAACCGAGTTCTATATTTTTACTATTAAAAATACTTTTAAATCTGTGTCAGATGTTCAACATTAGTATTAATGTTAACTTGATAATATTGTATTGCATTAAACAAGCAATAGGATTGGACACAAGTTATTACAACTTATATTGGTTTGGTGTCTTATTTGACCAAATATTTGCCACTGGACTTTAAGCAAGCAACAACCAGTCAAACAATCAATTAACGAAATTGTAAGTTATATCTTATTACGATTTTGGACTAACATGTCCATTGTCAGTTCTCCTTGCTAATATTGGTGTAGTATTGTTATTAGAAGTATAAGTGTAATTCTGACGTAATCATATATACGCATTGGGTTTTAAATGATTATGAAATTACTATTTTTGTTCTGACTTGTCCTCCGCTATCCCTTCAGATTTTGTGCTAGTATTCAATATTTTAAAATTGTGCCAAAAAGTAATTAAATGCCTCATATGGGTCTTGTTTCATTTGATTAACATAAATTTTATCTTTTATAGATATCATGTACATGAGGGGTCTCTAAATTCTGCATTCTTTAATTTTTGAAGCCATTATTCTCTATTCTTAATTTTTGAAGCCATTATTTCTTATTCTTTATATTTTATTGCCCATTATTCTCTTTTATTTATATTTTAACACCCTATTTATTCTCTATTCCTTAATTGTTCGCCTATTTTTCTCCTATTGGTCCATTATTCTCTATCCTGTAAACCCAATCCAGACCATCGTACACGAGAATTCTGCAATGCCTTCATGTTTCATATGTATAACAGTAACTGTTGTTGAGCTGATTTTGTATGTAAATGACATTACCGATTACGATTTATCACTGGATTTGTATTTGCATTAGCAACATGACGGGTGTCACATGTTGAGAAGGAACTGCTTAACTTCCAATCTAATTAGAATATAGATATCTGATATCATTATGCTCATCTTCGACGAGTAAGCGAGTTGCGATAGATCTAAAATCAGATTGCTTTCCATCCTGGATCACCTGAGTTCACCCCTTATGTTTGGTTGAATTCGTGTTGCTCTTTCTTCAGTTTTTTTGTGCAATGTTTTCTTGTTGTTGTTTGTCTTTTCATAATTTTCATTTTGAGCAATAATGTTGCCTGTTTTTATTGAGCTTATGATTTTTAATTGCTCTCTTGGTTAATCTCTTTCAATTTTTGCTTGGTAGAACATTTTTTTTTGTATTGATGCTCAAATGGTTGCAAACACAAATAAATATACATTTCGAGCCATATATTTTGTTTTTCCAGAAGTTTCCCAGACAGAATGCCACAAGATTGACTAGGTGTGTTTGCAGAGTGGGTGTGGAGGACAACCATTACCCAATTTTATGAATAACTGATTTATTATATTTTGAGATAAAAAAAGTGACAACTGCCATATTCTAATTCAGTGTACCACTAAGGCGTGCACACCTAAGTTCATCGTTGATCCATCAACTTATATTGCGATATTTCAGTATTTATTGGATTAATATTCTGATGTAATACAGGAGTATTTTTAATCATAGACGATTACACATTGCATCATCGAGAATTTTGAGTATTTTGTATTGCAATCTAATTAAAATTTCGACAATTCATAACTTGTGTCATATAAGTAAAACGAAATCAGAGATCTATTATATTTTAATTAAATTGTATGTATTGTTGGGTTATTGTCTCCTTAACATGTATCTCACATCTGCTTTGTTCATAATTTTTATTGCCTTCTATTTTCTTGTTCACTTCGGCAGTGGTCATCCTGTTGGTAGCTAGATTGGCAGTTGTTTTATTGTATATTTTAGTTTTGTGACATGCATATGATCTATTTGGAAATAAAGGGAACTTTAATACTATCCCTTCCTGAATCTACTCCTGTCCTCTGAGTATCAGGAATAGAGGATATCATTAAGAAAAGTTTCCCTATACGCAGGTGAAGTTGTTATCATTCTGTGAAAAGGGGATTCTTTTAAATCAGACAAAGAATCGACTAGATTGTCATATATTCTAAAACTTATTATATATTCTTTAATTTCCCTCTCCGCAGAATATATTTACGCCATCGAGAAAGTTCTATGGATTGGTAATGCAGAGAACTCAGTTAAATACAAGTTTGTTGGCATTAATTTATCTTTTGTTTCTTTTGGACAAAGTGTGGATTCGTATTTTAAACTAACACAGTTTTAAAACGTGTTTGATCGTTTCTTAAAGTATTGTAAGTGAACAATCATACAAATGATACATTTTTAACACAATCTTAGATGGAGCACAATTTGTTTTACCGAAAATATATTCAAATATAAAAAAAAACAAAAGTTTAATTTTTGATATATTATAAGTCATTTCATGAAAAGAGGAAGGTTTTCCAAAATTTCTATTCTACAATTTCCATTAATTACGCAATATCTTGACCTAATACTTATGCTGACAATACGGTGATGAAAATATATTAAGACAAGGATGTAGATCTTTAAGTACATGGTTTATGTTAATGAGACCTCAAGTATGTGGTTACAATGTTGATCCTATCTAATAAATAGAATCTAAAATACAGGATACCATATCTACCATGATTAAAAATAAAAAGATTTGGTATCACCGCCAACAAGACAACTATCCACCAGAGACCAAAATATGTCGATGTAAGCATTTATAGGTCACCGTACGACCTTTAACAAAGGGGAAAATCCAAACCGTATAGTCACCTATAAACGGCCCCGACGTGACAAATGGGAATCATTTCAAACAAGAAAACAAACGGCCTAATATTTGATAAATCAATAATTGAAAAAAAAAACAAACGAAAATGTCACAGACATCAAACAACGACAGGCTCCGGACTGTCGACAGCGTCAAGTAATTGGCGGGTTAATATAAGATATTGAGATGTGATATGATTGTCAAATGACAAGCACTGAATTACAGACTTCTGACTTGGGACAGTCACATATCTAATGGTACGAATTCGAAGTTAAACATGTTTCTGAGCACTCAACCCTACCCTAACCGGGGACAATGGTGTAACAGCACAACAAATTAATAAACTGAAAAAAATTTTTTTTTTTTTAATAAAGCATACATGTTATTATGGTTGCAGAAAACAAACAAAACCGATTTCGCGATTTTTAAGATATTTAAAAGACCATAAACTGCATGGAAACAGAAAAAAAATCTATATTTCTAAACTGAATTGCTTCAATTTTAAAAGGTTTGACACCTCATAAAATATATATCTAGAGGTAACCAAAAGACGTTCAGTGGTGTTGGCCCATCACGTGTGGGAATCATTACTTCTGCCGGGGTCAAGAAAATTTCAAAATTCGAAATCGACAAAAATAAACTACTGCACATGGCAAAAATATATTGGAAACAGTTGGCTTGCATGAATCTCAGATGGAGATGGAGTAGTGTGATTCATGAAGGTATCACCCGTCAAACAATTCCAGTCATGTGAACAACCTGACCAATGTAAATATTTAAATTATTTGTACAAAAAATTAAAAACAGCAAAGCAATTGTTGTGTCGATGGTTGTGTCCGTGTATGCGTGTGTACATTCAGATGATCTGACTTTTTATGAGAATTTCATAAATTAAAACCACGTTTTTGTAAACAGCTGATTTGTGGTTAATTTGAAAAGAAGTATTAACAGATTTCTTTTTCAAATTTTGAAATAGCGTGATTCATTGGATCATATTGACGACTTAGTCATGACCAAATTTTGGGTATCCGTTGATATCAACATAGTGCGGTTAACTCAAATCAAGTTCCATTTAATGACAATCTTGGGAACGTAAAGGTAATAAATGCTTAACAGTATATAATAAAACTTTTTCAGTTAAAAGAATAATTACAAAGTCATCAAGTTTTGTTTTGAGAGAATTATAAATCTATTTTAGAAGGTAAATAATAATGATGTTATATGGATGAATGATTTGAATATTTCTTGTGTAAATATTGCGATCACTGCGTTTCATTGTAACTTTTTTTTTCTATTCGTGTGGTTAACTTGTATAAAGGATGAGTGGTATCAACTTCAGTGTTGACATGAACTATCATTGATATGGTCATATTTTTAATGTAACTACTTTCAAAACTTTGTTTGAAATACTAAGGATTTTCGACCTTAGGAAAAGATTGCATAATTTAGGTGCATTTGCAAAAACTTTCGGACTTTTGGGTCCTCAATGCTCTTCAACGTCGTACCTTGTTCGACCTTTTAACTTTTTTATTCGAGCGTCACTGATGAGTCTTCTGTAGATGAAACGCGCGGAAGTATGGTGTACAACATTATTAGCCTGGTATCTTTGGTGAGTTCTCTTATATATATTTCTAAAAGGTCAATACGGCTTGCTCAAAAGATACCGATATTAGTCTTTAATTAATTTTTTTTTAAATACAAAGTTTTCTTGCACAAAACACCTCTTTAATTTTGCATAATGACGAATAATAAGGACAGATAAGAATTTGGAGCTGGCATGACAGTAACTGCTAGTTGTCCTTTGTTAATTTATGTTGATCATTGTCATTTTGCTCATAAACAGAGTTTTACTGTGCGTTTGTTTATTCCACATTGGCTTGAGGTATAAGGAAGGGTTGAGATCTCACAAAACATGTTTTATCCCGCCACATTTTTGCACCTGTCCAAAGTCAGGAACCTCTGGCCTTTGTTGGTCTTGTGTGGTTTTTTAAAAATTTTGGTTCATTTATATGTGTCGGATTTTAGTGTGGCGTCCATTTCGCTAAACTAGTATATATTATTGTTTAGGGGCCAGATGAAGCCCGTTCGGATGCTGGATTTTCTTGCTGCGTTGAAGACCTATTGGTGGCCTTGGGCTGTTATCTGCTCTTTGGTCGGGTTGTTGTCTCTTTGACACATTCCCCTGATTGATGCATTTCAAACTGTGTTTTGAAATTATTCAGTTTTGGTTTTAAACTTTTCAATGACATACAATTTACACAGCGATTATGTTTAGACTTCCAACAACACTAAATATAAATTGGACTTTGCTCCTATGCATTATTTGGTTGAAATTTAAAAAAAAAAAAAACAAATCCCATTATATACTGCTTTTTGAAGTTCAGTTGTTTTTTGTTTTTTGTTTTATTTTTTGTTTCTTTCTTCTTTTGTGCCATTTATATTTAATGTCCATTTTATACAAATGTTGAAATAATATGTCATGTAAGCAATAGAAAAACAAAGGATATGGGCATCATCCACAAAATCAGTATATGCATAGCAAAACAACTAACACCCCCCCCCCCCCCCCCCCCCCCCACACACACACACATAGAGAACGAGAGAGATACTAATATGTTAATTGGACTCCAAAAGTCTGTTTGACTTATCTCTATTCCAATTTGTGTTTATGCAGGTAGAATGTGTTTCAACTAAAATAGATAAAATTGAGGATGGAAATGGGGAATGTGTCAAAGAGACAACAACCCGACCAAAGAGCAGAAAACATTTTTGAATAAGGATAATTCAGTGTAACCAGGTTGAAGCTAGCGAACAATAGCGAATACATTTGTATACTAAAAATTGCATTAAAATTAATGCATGTCTTGTGTTTTCCAATTACTCAAAAATTCAAACAAATATGACAATAAACAAAATTAATCGTTTTATTTAATTATCTTGAAAGATGTATTTGCTCATGGTACTGATTCATGCGAAATATGTTTTGGCGACATTTGCTGTCATTTCAATTTTTTTCAATTCTATAGTGTGTTTTATTGAAATAAAATATAAGAATTGGCGCAATCGTATATTTTACTTTGCGTGATTGATACTAGGTATTTTCATTTTGTAAATTAGTGGCGCAAACGTATTAATATTATTATTAGTACAAATGAGTTGTGGTACAATATAGTATGTTAAAATATTTCTCCTACAACTCAACCGTCATAATTTTAATTTATCAAAATGTATAAAAGTATGACAATCCTTCTTTCAGTGTAACCTACTTGTCACCAATATTATAATAACCTTTCACCACCGCTGCAGGTCAAGTGCAAGCAATACTACGGAAATATATAAGGAATTTCCCTCCTCAAAATACGTCCGTATAACCACACACTTTGCTTAGATAAAAGTGACATCTTCAGCACGGGGTTGTATACTTTATAAACAAACTTGACAAGTATTAGTTTCTATTATCAGGACAAATATTGTTAAAATGACTTCCAATGTTAGCATACCTGTATGCAATGAATCTAAACATGAAATAATTTTTATTCGCCAAGAAAGCAGAGTTCAGGTGATTCATCCAGACGACGAACACGAACCTTTTCTAAAGACAACATCACCGAAACAATGTAGAAAGCTAACATCATTAAAGGAAAACGAGAAGGACAACGAGATAAATACTACAAAAGAGTTAAAAGTTAATGGAAACGTTGTTATTTATATGCCTCCGAAAGACGAACCATGTGCAGAAAATATGAAATACCAAAATGAAAGAGGTTTGGTAACACCGGTATCGTTTGACCATGTTGACGGGCCGCAATTTCCTAAGAAGAAATCTGCATCTAAATGTTCATGCTTAAAACAAGTTTTTTCAAGGCCCCAGACATATGTCAACATTGCCTTAGCCTTAGCATGTGCCATAGCACTTTTAGTAGGAGTATGGAGCTTTGTGAAGAACACTTTTGACAATGATGACACAAGCGACAAATACTTGTACTGTTATTCATGCAGCTCAACAACCAATATAAAGGAGAAATACAGGAAGGGCAACATGTGCTGCATTAAAGAACCTATACAAAATTTCAAGGTGAGACTGGAAATTATTTTTGATAAGAAATATTTGCACTCCACAAGATTTCTATTTATTGCCACTTCTTATTCAAATTACTAGACTTCATAAACATCCATGTTGGCTTTTGCTTTATACTTTAAAAATTCACGATTTGCCAGGCAATTTACCATTTGAACTTTAATTTATTTGTTCGAAGCCTGTGCACACAACTGATGACGTTATATTGAAACACGAATACAATCTTATATTGGCCGAAGTGTCGACGCAGTAAAATTTTGCACAATTTAGTCTGGATTTATAAATTATCACACTTAGCACACTACTGCTGAATTCTATTCTCGCGGTCGGTCGACACAAATTAAATTATAACATAATGCCTTTTAGCTCACCTGGCCGAAAGGCCAAGTGAGCTTTTCTCATCACTTGGCGTCCGTCGTCCGTCGTCGTCGTCGTTAACTTTTACAAAAATCTTCTCCTTTAAACAAACTACTGGGCCAAATTTCACTAAACTTAGACACATTCCTCATTAGGGTCTTTAGTTTAAAAGATGTGTCCGATGACTCTGCCTGCAAAACAAGATGGCCGACATGGCTAAAAATAGAACATAGTGGTAAAATGCAAGTTTTGTCTATTATCTTGAAAACTGCGATGAATATAGAAAATCTGACAGAGGCAGAAATGTTCAATATATTAAGCTCTACCTATTGTTCTTTTATGTCAATACTGTCAGACGACTTCTAATCGGCAGAAATGTTCAAAAACGACGAATTTTACCATTTAAAAAAAAACTTTTGCCTATTATCTTGAAAATTATAATAGATAGACAGAAACTTTAAAGCAAAAATTATCAGCAAGACAAGATCTACAAATAAGTCAAACATGGCCGAATCTTCAGTCGACTCCTTATTAGAGCTATTGCCCTTTAACGACGATTTTTACCATTTTTTTTTGCGTTTTTGCCTAATATCGAAAAAAACTATGCTAGAAAGATAGAAACTTTATATAGAAAAAAAGATCAGCAAGACAAGACCAACAAGCAAGTCAAAATGGCCGAAATCGTTAGAAGACTCCTTATTGAAGTTATTGCCCTTTAATGACGATTTTTCCAAATTTTGCCTCTTATCTTGAAAATTATTATAGATAGATAGAAACTTTAAATTGCACAAATGATCAGCAAAACAAGATCCACAAATAAGCCAAAATGGACAAAATCTCCAGTCGACTCGTTATTGGAGTTGTTGCCTTTAAATGATAATTTTTAACCATTATTGCATTTTTTGCCAATTATTTTAAAAAGTATAATAGTTAAAATGGAAAAAATTATCAGCAGAATAAGATCTACAAATATGTCAACATGACTGAAATTGCCAGTTAAATCTCAATAGAGTTATACCCTTTTAATGATGAATTTTACTAAAAAGTGGCCATTGTTGAATATGCAGGTGAGCGAGACAGGCTCTTTAGAGCCTCTAGTTTTATTTTATCATCGAGGAATTTTGTTGATTCTGTACAGATACCACTGGCACTTGTTTCTCGACTATCCATATATAATAGAAGATATGGATAGTCGACCTTCCCACGGATAGAAACAAGTGCCTGGGACAGATACATTTATTCAAAATGGTAATTTGCCTTAAAATAGATTCATAAACATGCTACATTTTTTTGCAGTTGTATCAAAATACATGAAAGTAAAAGTGTAGGCGTGCGGCGAGAGTTTCACTTTAAAGTTTACTAACCACAATGTACGTAGGTCGATTGGTTTTCCCCTAGGATTTTCCCCTGGATTTCACCTAAGACATACTTGACCCTGACTTTCAAACTCACTTAAAACGTATACATGTTGTTTTTGTACATGTGGAAAGGTATTGTTCGATGAGGAAGTAAAAAGAAAATATAGCTATAATAATATCTGTTTACAAAAGGAGTAGTGTAAATGAACCAAAGAACCAGGCGCAATCAATATGATAAATGACAACATTTAGCGACCGATAAGAACTATGTTAATTTTACTAATAAAATACACTTTTTCTAAAAAAAATATTATTGATTCTTTTCTTGAATATGTCTCAGTGACACATCTTACGATCATCTTAGGACTTGAATGAGGCTGCACATTACAATTTAAAAGCTTTTTTTTCTTATAGTTGTTCTTGAAAGAATTTACATAAATGAATCTAAAAGGAAAAAAAAATAGATCTTAGTTCACAGTTGGGCAGGGGTTAAGCATTTGTTGTTTAAGCATGTCACATTGTTGTAGAAATAATAAACTCATCATAGATACCAGGATTACGTTTTGTATTTGCGCCAGACGCGCGTTTCGTCTACAAAAGACCCATCAGTGACGCTCGAATAAAAAAAAGTTAAAAAGGCCAAATTAAGTACGAAGTTGAAGAGCATTGAGGACCGAAAATTCCTAAAAGTTTATACAGCTAAGGTAATCTATTCCTGAGGTAGAAAAGCCTTAGTATTTCGAAAATTCAAAGTTTTGTAAACAGTTAATTTATAATTATGACCAAATCAATGATAATTCATGTCAACACAGAAGTGCTGACTACTGGGCTGGTGATACCCTCGGGGAATAAAAACTCCACCAGCAGTGTTGTAGAAATAATTGAATATTTCCAATGCGGTAAGTGGTAGGGGTAAGTTGTTAAATTGGTCAATTGATGATTTTCGTTTTACATTTATCATGTATTTCGGTTAATTTGAAATGACTAAAATGCATAATACTGTTGATATTACATGTACAATGCATTTACTTTTCCATGGCTCTGAAAAATATCGGCAACTACTGAGACACCATCAATTAATCTGACATTTATCAATCATTAATAAAAAATACTAACGTCTATTATGTCAAATAATAAAGAATAAAGTATTTCATTTTCATTAGAAAGGGTGGAATATATCTGCAATGTGTTATGAATGTGTAACAAATAAAAATACAGTCTCCACTTCCGGAATAAAAACAGTCTCTTGATCAGAAAGCATTTCCATGCTACAATTGTATTGAACGATTCAAATAAACAGTGAAAGTAATTACTTTCATGAAGTCATTTGTGTTGAACTATTTCACTTAATTTTACTCAACATTATTATTATGAGAGAGAGAGAGAGAGAGAGAGAGAGAGAGAGAGAGAGGATGGGAAATCGCAAGCCTATGCGTTTAATTTTCCTTTCTTTTTGTGGATTGATGTTACATTAATTTATATCATAGTTAAAGCAAGTACAAATTGAATATCTACGTTAATATACTGATACTAATAAAGACAACATATACCGTATCATCACATGTAGATAGTACAATATTTATTCTCATGTGAATAACATTCAAACATACTGTTAAAATGTGACTGACTAATATTATGCAATTATCAATGATATTACGATAATAAGGATGTAAATAATTTTAAATTGTGATGATGACGACAAAACATATTGTACAATCAATCATTTCCAAACCTTTACCCCACATGTTTTACATGAGACTATTTTGATCAAATGAAATGTCTCTGGTTTGCTTTTATTTTTAGGTCACTTTGGTCATATATAGCTATTCACGTGTTTCGGTACTTATACACCATGGCTTTCAAAGTTTAGACTAGAAGTTCCTGACGAAAGTAAATCCAGAAAAGCGCTTTGGATGCATACAGTTTATAAAGTGTCATTTTATTTTTTTTTCTGTAATTATTTTCGTCTTTATTTCTATGGCAAGTAGCCAACTCCAGATATTTGTTTTATTTTTTTGTATTGTGGCAACTTGTTTATACATTTCGAATATTTGAAAATATATGAAATTACCAATCTTTTAAATAGTTATTCCAATATATTCATTTCAGGATCAGCAGAACTCTGTTGGAGATGGACTCGGTTCTCAAGGTAAAATATTTATAATTGTAAAGATGCAACACTACTATAAAATAATGCCCGTTTTTCATATACAGACATTAAACACAAATAACAGGTAGAAAATGAATAGAGGTGCCAATCAACTCTATCATAAGAAAGACTGTACACGTACATGACGAATCAAAGGCGACGAGTCATAACAGACAAATTTAATGTACAGACAAACAAGAAAGGACATACACTAACAGTGAACACTTGTGTTTGCTAATATACAGAAAGATTATCACAATCAGTGAGCACATCTATACAGATATACAAAAACAGTAAAATAACAAAAATTCCGAATTCCAAAGGAAATTCAAAACGGAAAGTCCATTATCAAATGGCAAAGTCAAAAGCTCAAACACATCAAACGAATGGAAAACAACTGTCATATTCCTGACTTGGTACAGGCATGAAGGACTTGCACTAACAGTGAACACATCTGTGCATACAAGGAGGAAAAGATATACAGAATGGACTTACACTATTAACAACTAACATATACGTAGATACAATCAAAAAAATATACACACAAATAACAAACAATTATGTACAGACAAAGACGGACGTACGCTAACAGCGAACACTTGTGTACAGATAAACAATAAATGACTTACATAAGCAAATTCCAGATAATCACGAAGTCTTCTTAGATTTGTTTTGATTTTGATTTTTACAAGTACCAAGACGTCAGGGTAAAAAAAATACCATACCATATATATGGCTTCATGATTATTTGAATTATCACAAACAGTGAACACAGGTTACATGTATCAACAAAAAGCGAAAAGACACAAACAGTGAACACAGGTTACATGTATCAACCAAAAGCGAAAAGACACAAAGAGTGAACACAGGTTACATGTATCAACCAAAAGCGAAAAGACACAAACAAGGAACACCGGTGTACAAAAAAAGAAAAAGATGAAAAAACAGAAAAAAGAAACCAAACATGCCAACATAAGAAGTAGTAAAGAATTTGGTGGCCTAGATTTCGTTAACATTAAGATCGTCACTAAGCCGAATGCTTGTAATACACATTATTTCATTTTTAATTTTGATATTAAACAGTAACTTTAAGGTAGAAAACAATATTTAATAATTCAACATTTACATCGCATTACGCAAGAAAGATGAGATTGTTTAGTGTTTACTAGGAAAATGATAAAAAAAGTGGAAAAGTTTATATTCCATTGTAATAATTTCAAATAACATATCTATATAAATAATGTGTTTTCATAGGTAAACAGTCATATAATGGTTCAAGAATCTTAGAATTTGAAGCAGATTTCCAGACAAATTTGACAAACAGTAAGTCTATCAACTGTAGATAAAAAGCGACGAAGTAAATGTATACTATAATTTAATGGTTACATTTACTTTTGATACATCAGGTTGTATTAAACTACCTCACTATCTTCAAGCAGTCATTGATACACTGCCATCTAATGTTTTAGGCTGGATTGAAGTGGTCAGAACCCAGTACCTTTTTAAATTTTATCTTTGTAACAGTATTCAGTCCTACACACAGCCCTCAAAATGAAAAGTTTTACACAAGTACTGTTGAGATAAAAACAACATAAAATTTAAGTGGCTGTCAACATTCATTTACTGAAATTTGTCAAATTTGTAATTTTATCAGTAAAATTAACATTACACAGGTTGGTTCAGATATCTTAATACTAGCTACAGTGATAATTTCTGCATCCTTTGTGATAAAACTAGTGTACATAGATGGCATAGTTTTTGTGCAAAATATGAAATATCATTTCAGTTGTATATATAATACACATTATATACTTTTATATACATATTTAAGAACAAACAATTTCATTACTTTTTGTTAGGGATGAAAAAAAAATAACCAACAGAAAGTAACTGTTTGGTATAAACATTTCAACTAACTAGGCATGTACTAAAAGGTGGAGTGGAGTGGAGTGGAGTGGTGGAGTGGAGTGGTGGAGTGTTGGAGTGGAGTCATGGAGTGAAATACTTAACATATCCAACAATCAATATTTGATTTTTCATCAAAGTTGGACAATATTTTGGGTAGCATTTTATGACAGCTTAGTTGGAGGTGGGATAATAATGTCTATCGTGTAATTTTCTGTACTGTCCTGAATTGTAGTGTATTTTTAATAAGAAGGGGGAAGCAAAGGCCCAGTAACCTATGCAGTTAAAATTGATTTTGGACGAGCTCACAAAACTTCTATTAAAGTACACATAGTGATTATGTTAATTTCCAAATTGTGGTAGGTTTAGTCCCTAGTTAAAAAATGTATGTCTTATTCCCGGCAAAATATGTTAGAATCAAACAGATGCTAAAAAATCATCTTTTGATAAAAATATTAAAATTATTAATATTTTTATTAACAATGGACTATGATATTATAAAATTAAATTGTCAATCAACATTTTCACTTAGATTTTATCTTACATGTTAATTTAATGACTGTACTATTTAAAATAGTTTGTTTCTTCCAATTAAAAATAGATAAGGAAAATGTATCTAGCCACCATCGCCTGTCCATAGAACCCATAAAACTGTCATTACTATAACCTCAGAAACTAAATAACTTAAATAGATGAGAAATGTTGTTGTTTTTGAGTAATTTGATAAAATAAACAGATGTTAAATCAGTACAAACCACACACTATATAGGTTCTGCATATTATGAAAACAAGACTGAAAAGCATAAATAAATTGATATATACATGTATATATATTTAGATATACCGTAAGATATAAGTATATAAAGAAAACATTTTCAACAAATTTTATTGTAAAATTAAAGCTTTATCTATTGTCCTGAACAGTTAACGTTGAATTCCTAGCGATTCTAGTAAAAGCAAATGCTCATCTGATAAACTTTGCTTTATTTCGTTATGGATTAAAACATCTTTGAATTCAAACTGAGGATCCTTTTTTCTTGCACAGTCAACATTTAAATGAAAATATGTGTTTTGTAGAGAAACAGATTGTTTCAAGATTTTAGATCTTGGACTTAAATACATTCTATGATCATATCTTTTTAACACAAGATCATTTGGAACATTTCTATGCTTATCTGAAAATGATTGTCCACAGCCGTAACATTTTCTTATTATTCCAGCTATGAAAGTAAGATGGAATGGTTGTTTATTTAAATCAGGTCTTTGAACTTCAGTGTCTTGTCTATACTCATTCACCTCTAATGACTGATAGACATTATAATCCCACCTCCAACTAAGCTGTCATAAAATGCTACCCAAAATATTGTCCAACTTTGATGAAAAATCAAATATTGATTGTTGGATATGTTAAGTATTTCACTCCATGACTCCACTCCAACACTCCACCACTCCACTCCACCACTCCACTCCACCACTCCACTCCACTCCACTCCACCTTTTAGTACATGCCGTTATAATAAGTAGGAGACTTTTTATACGCCCGTTTACGGACGTATTATGGTATAACGTATTACATTGTCATGATAGAAAATTAAGTATCCACATGTAAGAGAAAATAATATGAATATTGTATTTGAAAGATGATGTAAAGTTGTACAAAATAAAAAAAATGTGACAAGGACATGAAAAACATTTAATAAAACCACTTTATTCATTTTTCTCTCAGTTTATGTGTATTTTTAGTGTATGATTTTTGTCCCTTTTCATATGCAAATAATCTTTTCATCTTTAAGACTTTTGAATAATCAACCAAGTTTTGATACAATTTAACGTTTTATATTTTTACTTTTTGCAGAATTCATCAGCTGGAATCCATCATCCAATATAAATAATTCATTCATATCGCACCAGTCCGATAAAGGACACTTAACACTGACACATGATGGTACGTACGTCATTACAGTTTCCTTGACGACGAATACATTTTCTGCAAACACAGATACTAAATACATCCGGATTATTGTTTGTTTGGTGTTCGAGACCCACGAAGGTGAGAAAACTGAAGAATGTCGACCAATTACGCACACTGAAATAATGACCATTCCTTTCCAAATAATCAAATATCGAGAATTACAGAACGGCACAAAGATATATGCAACGATCAGTAAACTGGGAGTGCTCCATAATCAAGAAAGCCACAATAAACTTTTTATTGTCATGCTGTAGTGTAAGACATCCAAACAGTCTTCCACCAAAAGATGACTATATCTTTATATATAGTTTGCATGTGTTGCTTGCGATACTAACACAGACCCAGGTATTGAAAGACAAACTACTAACAATTATATTGAGTTGACAGGAAAACAGTATTCATTGTCGATAACTCGGATACGGCGTGTATATTCTTTCCAGAAAGAATTTGAAAAAAAACGTGACAGATCAAATTTAGTCAACTCGAACAGATACTATTTGTACCTTTTTATTTCAAAACGTTACAAATTATATAAGTAGTGTGTAGATTTTTTTCCAATTTCACTTATTAAATATGGACATCCAACTGATTAGTAACATCATTTTAAAGAAACAAGTGTATGCTTAAAATTCTAAAACTCTTTACAGCCGATTTCATTGAGTGTGTAGGGAAAGGTAGAATCCTTGGTTAGCTTGCTTGTTAGCTGAATCGTGAAGTCATTATTAGGTTAGGTAAACTTCCCTCCTTTAAGAGTAAACTAGTCCGACAGATAACCAATCTATATGTCTGTACGACTAAACTACTTCGAAAGGAGGGTAGTATACCTTACCTAATAATGACTTCACGGTTCAGCTAACAAGCAAGCTAACAAGCAAGCTAACCAAGGATTCTACCTTTCCCTACACACTCAATGAAATCGGCTGTAATTTTTAGTTGAGAAAACATTTTGAAAGAGTAAAAAAAGTTTTTTCATAAATTTTCTTTAGGTTTTTAATTAAGTTTTTTTTTTTTTAAACAATTGTCAAACTGCTCAATCGATTTTACTGATAACATTAAAAGAAATAGCCATGTTATTATTAACTCCTCACAAGTAAACGATAATAATATATACCTGTTTTATAAGGCTTCAATTTTGTAGTTTACCAACTCAATGTATTTTTTGTTGCACGATTCGAGTGTGTGTGAAAAGGGTTATACTGAGTAATTACAAAATGAAAGAGACGAACACGTGAAATTAAGGTATTTTGCTCATATAAGTTCAATTACTTTTTACTTAAAAGTATGCGAACATGGATTCATTTTGTAAATTTTGTATGTTTGGTAAAATGTCAAAGACGAAACAACAGAGAATTTGTCTGTGATACATGTATATTCTAATTATCATTAAACAAGATGAATATGTTTAAAGTGAAAATGATTGTTCTGCTTGTATACAAGATTATTGCCAAACTTTGTAGTTTTAGTGTTATAAATATTAAATTCTGTTGTTAGTAGTCACATTTGGCTCCTATGAATGATTGATGGCAGCACGAATACTCAAAACTATGCAATGAAGATAATAATGTTGTTTTTACAACAAAACATGTCTTTTTATTGTTTATTTGTTAGATTTATATTCATAAAGTCCCTTATACTGATACGGCGATGATCCGATTGCTCAGGAACGGCATATTTTTTCATTGAATTTATATTTATATCAATAAAAATAAATTTGGTGTATTTACTGTCTTCTAATTGGTTAAAAGTATTACCTTTATTTTCAATGTTGTCAATTTTTATGGCGACACGCCCACTCTGACGTTGTGTATTCATACGCCAACATGTGTGTACGTTGTTGTTGTTAATATAAACAATATAAAAAGCCTTTTTTTGATAGAAATTTATTTATAATGAATGGTTATTATTTATTTTGAATTTATTGAACCATAAAATTGATTTTTGACTCTTCACATTTTACATAATCCGCTTCGCGGATTATTCAATGTGAAGAGTCAAAAAATTTTATGGTTCAATAAATTCAAAATAAATAATAGCCATTCATTAAGTGAAATAACGTTTTGTTAATTTCTCGTGGCACAAGAGAGGCGGATGATACCGAAGGGATATTCAAACTCATAAAGTCGATGGCAAACTGACATCGCCATGACAATAAAGTTAAACGACCAAAAGACAAACATCAGTATACAAACCAAAACATGAAACACTGATCAACACGAACCCCATCAAAAACCGGGGGTGATCTAAGGTGCTCCGTAAGATGCAAGTATACGGTTCATGGTATACCTTCTATAGTCGCTTTGAAATAGTTCCAACTGTCTGGACACGAGGCGATGTAGAGCTTGACATATTGATGATATACTGTTGACAGATATTTACCTTTTGATAGATTTTTAATTGCATGTTTTGAATTGTAATAAATATAATAAAACAAAAAATGTACATAAAACAAATCTACTTAAATATATTCTAGAAGACATTTTTGTCAAACAATTGTAGATTATGCAGTTGTAATGTAGGCAGGTGAGTAGTAGGCATTGAGAAAAACAAAATGGCCATATACACAATACTGTCCGGCATTTAAACAACAACAACAAGTTATGTGTAGTTCTGCTTTAAAAATATGTATTAGTTTGAAAAATCTAGACACAGAAAACAAATTTATTTGTTTTTTTTCATGTGATCATGAAGAAATATGTAACACTGTGGCTTTGATTTGTTATTAATGTTTTACAATAAGAAAACAATTATTATAGTTAACTTCATATTATCATTATCATGATTGTTTCTCTACTTACGTCTCTTTATAATCATTATATGTAACATGCCCTTCATGGGCCGATGATTGGTTTAGTAAAGTATTCGTATTCGCATTTGCATACTAAACAATAGCACGTGAAAATACATTCAAGAAAACTGTTTATTTTCACTAGTTTATTGTCAAATAGTTCATTGTTATAATTAACACTAATTATAAACGCCTGGAGTATGTCAGTTATTTATGAAGTTTAAGGCATTCATCTTTCACATTCCACAAATATCCCATTTTATGTCTTAATACTGTAAAAGAACTAGTCTCAATATTAAAATTATATCTGATATCTCTTTCATGTTCATGTTTTGTTGTACTCAAATGTGTGTTGTAAATAGACTTTGTGTAAAACAACGTTTTCAGAGGCAGGCCTCTAAACCTTCCATGAGTCATCTTTAAATTCGTATACTGATGAATTCACTATTTTCAATATCCTTACTTTTTATTTATGAAATTTTACATGTGTTAATATTATATGTTATAATGCAGTATTGTTTTGTATAAGTATGCGATACTAAATTATTTTTTTTAATAAAATATGTTTCAAAACAAACGACTCTCTTATTATGAAAAAATGTCAGTCAAAACGACTAGCGCCCAGTATCATGAAATACCCTTACATGTATAAGTTACAGACGGAAAGGGCACAGGAAACACAAAAGAATGATGACGTCAAGATTATGTCTTAAAATGCGATTAATAGGAAAAGTAAAAAATGTATTCAAGTTCATATATTTTGCCGAGTACAAAGCCGTTATAAAATGGCACATCTTAACGTCTCCATGAAAATGGTACATTGTACCTGTTTGCGTAATCAACACCGATTACAGTTTTTTTTATCAAGAGCATATAATCTAACTATAAGATAAGGTATGATTGCAATAAAACAGCTACCAACCAGGCACTAAATTACACAAATGTTAGCAACCATGGGTCACCTTACAGCCTTGAACACTGAGCAAAACCCATACCGCATAGCAATCTATAAAACGCTCCGACAAGACAAAATTTTAAGTAATTCAAACTAGAAAACCAACGACCTGATTATTGTACAAAACAACAAACGAAAAACAAATAAGATGTACAACAACAAACGACTACTAATATGTACAACAAAAATAACAACCACTGAATATTTGCTTGCAGTTTTTTTCAGTCTAATACAACACCCTCCCGTTAAAAAAATATATTTATGGTTTGTTTTATCTCGTCTTTTTTTATGTTACTAACATATTAGAGAATATATGATGAAATAGTTTGTTTGACAAAACATCAAAATAATGAGATATGGTATGGTTGCCAATAAGACAACTATCCAACTAAGTTCAAAGGAAGAGGATTTATGACATTTTGATTGGGTGTGGATTTGCATTAATATTACAAGTAATGCATGCATAACAGGAGACGGGTACATTGTCTCGCTCCTATAGTTCATGTAATTCCCTCATCTTTTCACCTTGGTTTATGCCTTCTTACCAGAGTTTTAGGATTTGACTATCGGTAAACAACTGTTACTGCCTCTAATTAATGGTCTATTTTTGTAGATTTGATTTTTTTGTTTGAAAGTCATTTCATGGATTTACAAATTCTATAATCAGAATTATTCTGTCGAATACAATATACTATATGTAGAATTACGTAAATTTGTTTGTCCTGCAAACTCTTAAAAGCATTTGAAACACTAAGGTTTTTCTACCCCATGCAAAGACAGTCTTAATCAGATTTTAACTTTTAGGAACGTATGGTTTTCTCTTTAACTACGCTATTGATTTGAGTACGACTAATGAATCTTTTGTAGAAGAAACGCGTGTACTTAATTCTGAGCCTGATATCCTTGATTTGTTTACCACTTAGTCGATGCCACTGCTCGTAAACGTTTCTTCCACGAGGATGTCACCACACCAGTAGTCAGCACGTCTGTTGTGTCGACTATTATATTATTTGTTTGTACGTTTCCCTGTGATGAATGTTCTTGCGTGTGTTTGTGCTGTATTTCTGTCACGTAGTGTTTTCATTTTAGCGATATTTTTTAACATTGTCATAAAGCGGGAGGTTTGGCTAGCCATTAAACCAGGTTCAACCCACCATTTTTTCTTAAAATACCCTGTACCAAGTCACGAATATGGCAGTTGTTATCAAATAGTTCGTTTCTATGTATGTTGGCGTTTGTTTTTGTTGCACTTCAGTGTTCCTGTTGTTCCTTTGTTTTCCTCTTATAGTTGATGTGTTCCCTCGGTTTGAGTTTGTAATCCGGATTTGTTTTCCCTCAATCGATTTACGACTTTTGAACACCGGTTTACTCCTGTTGCCTTTATTTCTGTATCAAAATGAAATATCATTGATGCGACCAAGTTATTGTATAAAAACGATAAACTAAGGTTTTTCTACGTATGGCATAAATAGATAAAATTAGATTTGGCACAATTATTTGGATCTTTTTGTTTTCAATACTGAAAATAATAATATCAGTGAACTGGTAAACATCAGGAACCTGATGTTCAGTGGTTGTCTTTTGTTGATGTGGTTAATAAGTGTTTCTCGTTTCTCGTTTTTTATATAGATTAGACCGTTGGTTTCTTGTTTGAATGGTTTTACACTAGTCATTGTTGTGGCCCTTTATAGCTTGCTATTCGGTGTGAGCCAAGGCTCCGTGTTGAAGGCCGTACTTTGACCTATAATGGTTTACTTTTACAAATTGTGACTTGGATGGAAAGTTGTCTCATTGGCACTCATACCACATCTTCTTATATCTATTTAGCACTTCTTCAAACAGTATTCGATTAACACTGTTGTTTAATAGGTTATAGGATAATTACTGACTATTAAACATAATTGGAAACAATTAAGAGTAAATGATGCAATGCAGATGTCAACCCTTTCAAATTCAACAAAAGATAGCGAAGTAAGTAAAAAATAATATAATAAAATAAAACAAAAAGCAGTGTACAGGGAGTTAAGTTTTACTTAATTTCAAGTTTTTACGCGAAGTAGGTGTGTACAAGAAATACCCATTGGAAAACCAACAGTATGTTGAAATATCAATCGACAAAAGCATAAAATTATGTTATCGATCGAAAAAATCCAAGTTTTTATTATAAAATTGAGAATATATAATAGTCAATCTTTCAATTGCGAATGGGTAAAAAAGTAGTCTATATTGTAGAATAAACAAGAGTTTTGATATCATTTTGAAATTGTATAGGCTGTAATGTGAAGACTTTGGAGCTATTCTTCAGAATCCGCTGGTTGAGTATACATCATCACATTATTTTGATAGGGTGATTATTTAATAAAGAAAAAATAGTAGTACAAATATGAAACTAAAGCTCACCTTGGTCTATGTGCATATTCAATAAAGGACACTCTCCAAAATTGTAGACGAGAATAGAATTCATGACAAAAATCTATTTTGTTGATCTTGTATTGCTGATCATTTAGTCTGTTTAGTTTCTCTCTATCTTCTTTAGTTTTTGCTCAAGACACAAAAGAGGTAAAAAAAAAATCCTCATTTGAGGCCAATCACTCCTATAAAAAGTGACAGTCTACCAACTATATGGGCAAATTTGACTTGTTAGTAGATCTGGACTTGCTGATCATTTTTGTGATTTAAAGCGTCTATTCATCTATTATTTATCATATATGGCAAAACGAAAAAAAAAAAATGGTGAAAATCGTTTTTAAAGGGCAATAAGGAGTTGTTGGACGATTTCCTCCATATTGTCTTAATTGTAGATCTTGTCTTGCTGATCATTTTTGGTAATTTAAGTTTCTATCTATCTATTATAATTTTTAAGATATAAGGCAAAAACGCAAAAGAAATGGTAAAAATCGTCAACAAAGGGCAATAACTTTAATAAGGAGTTGAGTGTCGATTACAAACATGCCGACTTATTTGCGATTTAAAGTTTCTCTTTATCTGTTATAGTTTTCAAGATAATAGGCAAAAATTAAAAAAAAAAAAAAAAAAAAAATACAAAATTTGTCATTGTCATTAAAGGGCAATAACTCCTACAAGAAGTCGTCTGACAGTTTTGAAGTATATAGACAATTAATAGAGCTCAACATTCTAAACATTTTTGTCCTGTCAAATGTTCTCTATTCATAACAGTTTTCAAAATAATAGACAAAAATTGCATTTTACCCCTATGTTCTATTTTTAGCCATGTCGGCCATCTTGGTTGGCAGGCGGGGTCATCAGACACATTTCTAAAACTAAATACCCCAATGATGATTATGGCCAAGTTTGGTTAAATTTGGCCCACTAGTTTCAGAGGAGAAGATTTTTGTAAAAGTTAACAGACGACGGACGACGACGACGATGGACGACGGACGCTAAGTGATAAGAAAAACTCACTTGGCCCTTCGGGTCAGGTGAGCTAAAAAAAACATTTCAACTTTTTTGATTCGAGCGTCATTGGTTAGACGAAACGGGCGTCTGGCTTACACAACTTTAATCCTGGTATCTATGATGAGTTTATTCACAACTACTGGGTCGATGCCACTACTGGTGGAGGATTCCTCCCCGAGGCATCACCATCACAGAAGTGAGCACTTCTGTTTTTTTTTTTTAAATTTGAATTGTTCGAAATACAAAAGATTTTCTATCCCAAGGATGGATTACTTTAGCGGTATATGGCGAAACCTTTCGGAATTTTGGGTTTTCAATGCTCTTCAACTTCGAACTTTATTTTGCCTGTTTAACTTTTTTATTCGAGCGTCACTGACGAGTCTTTTGTAGATGAAACGCGCGTCTGGTATACACAATTTTAATCCTTGTGTCTATAATGGGTTTATATACTATACGATAGTTCTTTACTACAAGTTTTGTTGCAATATGTTCGGAAGGAAATATCAATTGTCTTTTTAAATGTAAATAAAAAAGGAGAAAAGGGCCGATTCTAACATCTCTACTTTCGTGAATGGAATAGCTGTATGTGTAGGATTGCAGATTGGCTGTAATGCAAAGTGAAGCAATCAAAATAAGGGAATTATACATAAAGCAATACGATCTAAGGTTTTAAATCTGTTTGAACAACCACATATATTTGTCGTGAATAGAGGATGAAAAATACATCATCGTACTGGATGTGATCTATTACATTTTTGTAACACGTTACATTTATAAGACTGTATGAAATAAAACGATACTATATTTACCAAAAAACAAGAAAACGAAAAATGTATATCTCGTCAGTTGTGAGCTGCATGTTGACGACTGAAAAGAAGAAAACATATCAAAACATTAATGATAACAATTGAATATAGTTCAGTTTCATAAAATAACTATGTTTGCCTTCTGGATTGTAAATGTTATTAATGAATATGATCTATCAAAACCACAGTATATTTCTCGTCGTCTTTTTTGAAGATGTCACTTAATGTTATGAATAGGCTCATTTGATGAAATGTTGGTTAAAATATGCGTTTTTTGTATATACTAATTATTCAGAAATACCATCAGTAGTGACATTATATTTTTTAAAATTAATTCCAGCCTAGTAGTCAGCACTTTTCTGTTGACATGAATATCATTGATATGGTCATGATTATAAA